GATCTGTTCATGGGTGAAATAGTTTGAAGTCATATATTGAGCCCTAGCATATGAATCAGGAGGAGTAATGAGATACAAAAGCAAAATAGTTATAGTAAGAATGATAGGGGAGGAAACATCTGGGAGAGTAAAGTGGTAACTACCGTTAGTTTTTTATTTTCTTGTCTTGAACTGTTGTATTTGTTTGCACATTTGGCTTTGTTCTGTCTTGTTTTGTTAGATTTGATGGTATGGGCAGCTATTTTAAACAAAACGGGATGTATTATGGTAATCATGGTTGGTTTCCTATTATATTGTTCTGAAGTCTTGTAATGCTTTCATTTGTTTAATTGGTTTTAATCTGTTTTGTTTTGTTTGACTTTATTATGTGTGATGGTATGGACAGCTATTTTGAAGAAAACCAGACATTGTGGTAGCCATTGCTGATTTCCTATCATCTTGTTTTAAAGTCCTATCATTTTGTTCTTTTGTTTTGATTGGTTCTATCCTGTTGTGTTTTATTTGATATTATTATGTGTGATTTTTAAGGAAAATGAGATACTATAGTAGCCATTGTTCATTTCCTGTTATCTAGTTTTGAAGCTCTGTAATGCTTTCATTCTTTTGATTGGTTTTATACTATTTTGTTATGTTTGATATTATTGTGTATGAAGGTATGTTCAACTATTTCATAGAAAACAAGAGACATTATGGTAGCCACTGCTGATGTCCTGTTGTCTTGTTTTGAGATGGTGTTTCTTGCATTGTTCTGTTCTGATTTGTTTTGTTGTTTTTCTTTTGTTTTCTTTAAAATAAAAATATTTTAAAAAGGGATCAAATCAGTAAGATATTTTTTTCCAGAGTTGAGTATTTTTTATTTTTTTTTTATTAATTTTATTGGTACACTTTTGATATACATAATGATCACATTCATCATAGGGAATTTGTATCTCTACATGATATATCTTGAGACTTCTTTCTTTCTCCATTTCTCTCCCTTCCCTTCAATCTTTCTCCTGCTCCTTACTTAGAAAACCTTCATTTTTATATTTTCCTTTTCCCTTCCTTTGCCTTCTCCCTTACCCTTCCTAGTTCCTCTTCCAATTTGAACATTTTCTTATTTCCCTGTATCTAATTATATCTTATAATTAAGTTTTGTATAAAGATGCATTAATTGTAAGTATCAATATATTTCAATGTAGTATTTCAATATATGCACATAGCAGTATGCCCTGAATAAATCCAGCCCATTCTCTCCTTACACTTCCCAAATGTCTAGTATATAAAATTATGCATCATTCACATTGATATTTAATTTTAAAAATCTTAACTAAAAAAGAATAAGATAAGCCAAAAGCGAGGCACAGTATAAGAAAGACTGGAGTGGAAATTATAGAAACAGAGAACCCAAAAATAAGAAAGAAAATAATTTTTTAAAATGTCAACAAAATAAACCCTTAAGCTAACAGGACTAAGGAAAAACAAACTTCAAATTACAAAACTCAGGATTAAAAAGGAAACAGCAACAATGATAGACATAAAAATAATGTTAAGAAGTAGAATAAACAATTAATGGATAACTTAAATGAAAAAGACATATCCCTAGCAAGACAAAATCATCAAAGAAAGAAACAAAATGGAAAATCTGAATAGACTGATAATAATAAATATATTGAATTAATTTTGTTTTATTTTTGTACCAGGGATCAAACTCATGACCTTGCATTTGCCAGGCAGGTACTTGTGTCACTGAGCTAAATCTCTGGTTATTGCATTAATTTTAACATTCACACGAAGGATAAGACTAAATGGTTTCCCTGGTGAATTGTATAAAATACTAGAGAATAATACAAATACTCCAAATCCTTTCATAAAATAAAAAGGAGTAAATGCATCCAAATTCAGTCAGTGATTCAAGTATTAAACGGATTCCAAAGCTGGATAGCACAAGTAAAGAACAGACCAATGCCTCTTTTGAATATATGTGTAAAATTACTTAGCAAAATACCTGCAAACTGATCCATACAACATATAAATAATTATATATCATAGCTAAGTGAAATGATCCTAGGAATAGAATACTGGTTTAGCATTCAAAAATCAATCAGAACACACCACACTTTGAGTCATAACAATTTTAATTATATTTGTTACAATTTCAGTAGTCATGAACATGGCTTTTGATGAAAATCCTACAAAATTCAACAAACTGGCAACCAGTGGGTACCCTAATAAAGAAACAGTTATAAAACAAACTCACCATTATAAAATCATCATTGTACTCAATGAAAAGACTAATGTTACCCTCCCTAAGTCAGGAAAGAACTGCTTTAGCAGCTTCAGCACCTTTTATTTAAATTGTACAGGAGGTTCAGCTAATATAATTAGGTAAGAAAAAGAAATAAAAGATACTCTTATTGGAAAGGAGGAAATGAAACTATCTGCAGCTGGAAATGGCATAATCTAGTACATAGCATAATTTCCTTAAATAACAAGTCTAGTAAATAAAGTAGTAGAATAAGTAAGCAACTATAAGCAGTGGCCAATTCTATTATTATATTCTAGCAATAAACAGTCTAGATATGAAGAAAATTCACTTTGCAATACCAAGCTGGGGATATAGCTCAGTGGTTATGGCACTTGTCTATTACCTGTGACTTCCTGTGTCCAATTCACAGCACAGCATTCAATTTGCAGTATCAACTAAGAACAAATTGCATATTATAAACTAAGTATCAACTAAGAAGAAACTGCATATTGAAAAAAATCAGTGAAGCTATAAATACATACAAAGTTACTTCATTAAGATGGACCAGGAAAACTATCAAAATCCTAACTGGAGTTCTGAAAGGATTCACTGTAGATACTAAAATTCATAAAGAAATGAAAGGAATATAAAGCATTCAAAATAATTTTAAAAAGAAATGCAGTTTGAAATACATTTAAAAGCTATCCATTATCACAATAGTATGGTACTAGGCTTAGAAAAAATTCCTCATGTGTATGATCTATCTATTTTTTTTAAAAGAAGAATGCCAAAGCAAATCCAGGGAAAAGAACACTATCCAACAAATGCTGCTGTTATTAATTCTCTACTTCCATATAAAAGATGAAAGTGCATTCCTTCCTCATATCAAACAATAATTAACTCAAAAAGAATCAGAGATAGAAAAAGGAATTCACTAATTTTTTTTATTGCAAGATAGTAAATACCAGTAAGGCAACAGATTATCTAAAACAACTGTTAGGAATATAAAATCATGCAGTTTTTCATATTTCAGTAGTTCCATAAATGTGAAAGACAGAATAATCATGTGACTCAGTAATTTTAACCCTAGGCATACACATGGGAAAAATACTGATATATCCATATACTATTATTCTTAAAAGCCACCAAGTGGAAGCAGCTCAGATACTCATCAATTAATGCAGAGATAAATATAGTTGTCTATATAATGGAATGTCAGAAAAGTTTTCATAAGGGATTTAATCTAAAGGAAGAGATACAAACACATGTGCTGCAAAGAAACACTAAGGGGCCCAGTAAAATGAAAGAATCAAAAAATGTTCTGAAAAACACACAAGCATGCAAACATCTAAACAATTTAAAATGAACAGAAAATAAGTAAAATACAAAGTCAATGAATAACACCATTTAAATCACCATAATTACATAATATCCAAAAATTTTCGTTTTTTTCACCCTTTGCCTTACAGAAAAAAGAACACAGTTCAAAATAAATAGTATTATATTAATACAGAACTTCCACCAACTCAGAAACAGGCTGGTTTATATTAGTAGAATAAAAATCAGAACACGTCAAAATATATATCAAACTATATTAGAATCCTAAATTCCAATAAAAAGCAATTTTAACTTAATTCTAGATTTTTTTACTTTTATCAAAATAATTTCTTACCGGGACATCTAGCATATCAAATATCTAGAATATTAAATTCCACCAAGTCTAATAGTGAAATTTAATCAACAATAAAAATTTTCTATCCCTACACTGTAAGAACTTTTTATAGTTATTATGTTAACAAATAATAAAAAATAACCTAGGGCTGGGTGTGGGGAAGCTCAGTAGTAAAGGATTTTTGCCTAGCATCCACAAAGCCTGAAGTACAATGACGGTTATCACAAAGAAATGAAAAGTAAATGCCAAGCTGCACATGTATGATTCAATGACGGTATACAGTATTTATAATGGAACTGTATAACAGAACAGTAACAGAAATAGAATAAGCGCACTTATACTGACAGATTAAATATAGCAAGAAAAATAAATTGTGTAAAGGAAGATTTCCTTGTAAAAGCAACTCAAAGCTAACACAATTTCAGGAGAGTGTATTTATGCAAACATGGAAAAATCCTACCTAGACAGTACATCAAACTTCCAATAGTGATTATCTCTGGAAAGAATTATTTTTATTTTGATTTCAACAAAAATGTACTTTTCCATTACTTGCATAAAAGCAATGATCTACCATGAAATTTAGGGTAAAGAAACTGATTTAAAATTAATCTATAATTTTCTCTACGTGAAAAAATTTATGTAGGCATAGAATCAAAAGAATAGTATTTTAAAAATTTATTTTGTTATGTCACTGATTGACATTAATCATAACTTCTTTCATTACTGAAATGTATTCAGATCTATTTATCTTACATAAAAAAGCATAATCTGCTTTCAGATTTTTATCACATCTTAATTTTTTCCTATATGAAGGACAAAAACAGATGATGTATTTATTCATTCTGTGTTCTTTATTTAACTTGCTTCATCTGCTGAGATGTTAGTCTCAAGTAGTCTAAGTTTTTACAAATGCAGAGTAATATCTCGTATTAATTCATAACTACTAATACTTTCCAATGAATATTTGTTGGTCAACTGGACAAAATTCTATACCAAGATAAGGGTATGATGCAAATCTGCAATTTGTATACTGCACAAGCCTAAGTGCACAGTCTTTACTGAAGTTTTCCACAGCTTAAGGGAACAAACAGGCTCACAAACCTCTACCTTATATTCATCCACAATAATTCCAAGTGCTTCGTGGCCCATTTTCCTCATGTCTTCCAATTCTTGTTTATGTTTTTCCTGAGGGAGAAGAACAAAAAGAAATATCCATAATCTGTTCTTGTTTTGCTGTTAAAATAATAAGATCCTTAACTGTTGCTTCTATAAATAATAGCCCATAGCCCATTAATGAAGCAGATGAAAACAAACAAAATAGTTATTTAAAAAGAAGTACTGTTTAAAAGTATTGGGAAGTTCTGAGAGTCAATGAGGAATTTAAAGTGAAGCACAACTGAGGAAGGCTAACCACGCCAAGACATGAAATACTGTCCCACAAACAGGGATGCTTTCCCTTGTGCTATCCGGATATTCCTGACCTGGGTATCAAGAGACAGAATTCTGTCTCAATATGCTTGGGCCTCTATACTTTTTATTGTTTATCCAGCTGTACTAGAATTATTTATCTAGCTCCCCGTTCTACTTGTCTAGGACTGGAGAGGAAGAATTCTCTTTGGAGGATGTTAACATCCTACAGAGTCCTTCTAGCTTTTCAAATACAGTACCCAGGTTTCAGTACAAAATTACTAGAGATAACAAACAAAGGAAAATGTAAAGCAGAAAAAACTAAGTAGATATATGGATGATTCAGATATCAAAGAATTTTTAAAAACGAAAGAAATGAAGAAATGGAGATAAATTTTTTTTTAAAATACACAACAAACATAATTGACCACAACTGAAACAAAAAGTTACAAAATCTGAATAGCTCTATTAAAGGAATCAAAAAAAAAAGCTAATGCACATACAAATACCTCTGACAAAGAAATGTTTCATAAATTTTAACACATATTTAAGTGACAAACCACCCATAAAAAAGCAAAAAATACTTTGCAGTATGTTTTATTAGGGTAACAGGATAATAATATATCTTACACTAAATTTGCCATTATTTAAAAGAAAATAAAATTAGGAATAAATCATTTTTATGCATATAGGAATTAAAATTCTAAGCAAAATATTAGCTAATTAACTACTGGGCACATGAAAATAACTGCCATCAAGTGGGGTGTCAGGTTAGTAGGAGTGAAGAACCACAAAAACCTCTCAGACAACCCCAACGTGCTCCTCTCTTAGTCATTCACCTGCCGAATAACAACACCCAAGTCAACAGCAAGAGCCACGTAGCACATATGGCAAAACCTTGGACAGCTCGAGACACCAAATGGCTAAAAGGAATGACAGTATCACCACCCCATAAAGGCTGAGGGAAAACTACACTCAAATATACCATATTCAGGATAATGCCAATAGTTCCATCTGTCTACTACTGCTCTTTTATCACTTTCATGCATTGATTATGCTTTGCTGATTCAATAGGTTTGTCTTATTATAGCTAAATTACTCTCAAAATTGCCTAAGTATACAGAAACACCTCAGGTATGTATTATAAATACAGATGATATCTGTAGGATCACCAACTTATTGTTCATGGTAGCTAATTTTGAATCACATTTCCATTTTTGTAAGAGGTGACTTAATTATAACTAGATCACATACCCACTAACTCCAATTACCTTGTAAAGAAAAGTCATCCACTCATCCAGTACTACACTAACACAAACACGAAGATGTTACTACGAAATACAAATTTGGATTACTGCCATGCCTCTTACTGTCAGTCCTAGTCAGAACAATTAGGCAAGAAAAATCAGTGACAGACACCCAAATTAGAAATGATGAAGTACTGGTCTCTGCTTATAAATGACAAAAAATTACCTATAGAAAACCTAAAACCTTCTCAAAAAACTTGTAAGTAATAAACAAATTCAGTAAAATTATAAGATACAAAATTAATATACAAAAATCAACTGTTTCTATATTATAAAGATAAACTAGCATATGTGAACAATCTCTCCCTTTCACTGCCCTGTGTCACTACCATTGCTCATCACGACACACCCCAACTTCAACATGTAGGAGTCCCTAGGGATCTCACCCTGCTGTAATGAATTATGAATCTATCATATACTAGCCCTATATAACAACTAGGATAGACATTTTCCTTTTTTTATTTTAAAGAGATTAAGACAAAACAGAACATAACAAAGAAAATCAGAAGAGAACAATGTAAGCAACACAGATATTTCACCAGAAGATAACCTATAATAAAAAGTAACTTCCACTATATCTCTTTCTTTGAAATAGTGGAGCATAACTTCATATAAAATAGTATTAAACATAAAAAAATGAGGAAAACTTCATATACAATAGTATCAAACATTAAAAAATAGCATAAAACCATTCAAGAGAATGAGAGCATTACAGGGCTTTCAGAACCACATAACAGAAAACAAACCATGGCTACTATATTATTTCATTTTCCATACAAATTTTATTTATACTATCACACGAAATACAATCCAAAAAGACACAACATGCTAGAGCCAATGGAAACAGAAGAGTAAAAGCATGGTAGGACTTCAGAGTAAGATGGTATTACATCAGTACTGGCTATTGTAATGACTTGTTTTTTTCAAAATAGCTATTCATAACATCACTGATAACAAAATCAAACAAACCAGGATGAAGCCATTCCAACTAATGAACGCGATCATTGTAAGGCTTCAAAGAAATGTAATGGGGAATCATGATTCCCATAAACTCTATGTACTATTACTATTTCTTATAGTAGGTAGACCATACAGTATTTATACATGTGATTTTGATTTATTTCACTCATGAGTATGGGCTAAAGTTGTGGCCCATTTTTTAGTATAATATCTCAAGGTGATCATTCTTTCTTGCTGAGTAGTAGTACTCAATTGTATAAAAATATCACAACTTTTTATCCATTCCCCAGTTGATAGACACTTAAGTTGTTTCCAAGATCTGGCTACCACAAATTGTGTTGCTATAAACATGGGTGCACATATATCACTGTGGTATGATGTTTTCAGTTCTTCTGGGAATATGCCTGCAAGTAGCTGGTTTGAATGGGACTTCCAATTCCAGCTTTCTGAGGAATCTCCAGACTGACTTCCACAGTGGTTGCACCAGATTATACTCCTACCAACAGTGCAGGAGAGTTCCCCCATAGCCTCTTCAGCATTTGTTGTTGGTAGTTTTCTTGATGCTGGCCATTCTTTCAGGAGTGAGATGAAATCTCAATGTTGTATTAATTTGCATTTCTCTAGTGACTAATGATGAAGAACATTTTTTCACGTATTTATTTGCCATTAGTATTGCTTCATCTCAGAACTGTGTATTCATCTCAGATGCCCATTGTGAACTGGATCCTTGAATTTCAGGGATCTGATTTTTTTTTTTTTTTCCTTCTTTACGTGTTTTAGAAAGAAGTTCTTTGTCTGAGGGACAGTTCACTAAGATTTTTCCCAGCTTGTGGGTTTTCTTTTCAATATGCTGGGGATTTCTTTTGACATGCAGAAACTTTTTAATAAGACATTATCCCAGCTATTGATTCTGGGAAGTAATTCCCATGCGTTTTGATTCCTGTTCACAAATTCTCTAACTACTCCTATGTCTTCAAGATGTTTACCTACTTTGTCTTAAAACAGATCTATTGTTTCTATTCTAATATTCAGATCTTTGATCCATTTAGATTTTAGTTTAGGATATGGTGATAGGCATGGGTCTAGTTTTAGTTTTCGTCTTATGGAGAGCCAGGTTTTCCAGTAACATTTATAAAAGAAACTGTCATTTTTCCAGTGAACATGTTTGGCCCTTCTATCAAAGATAAGGTGGTTGAGTGTGTTGGTAGTTGTGGTTGTATTCCATTTATTTTCAGATCTGTTTTTATTCCAGTACCATGTTGATTTCATTACATTTGCTTTGTAGTATAATTTCAAGTCAGGGACTGTGATGCCTCCTGCCTTGCCTTTGCTGCTTACAATCGCCTTTGCTGTTCTAGGTCTCTTTTGGTTCCAGATGAATTTTAGAGTGATTTCTCTAGGTCTGTAAGGTACGTTGAAGGTATTTTCATTGATATTGCATTAAATCTGCATAACAGTTTTGGGAGAATGGCTATTTTCACAATGCTTATTCTCCCTATCTAGGAACAAGGGATGTCTTTCCATTTCTGAGATCACCTTCAATTTCTTTTTTCAAGATATTACAATTTTTGCTGTATAGATCTTTTACTTCTTTCATGAGATTAATTCCTTAGTATTTCATTTTTTGAATGCTAGTGTAACGGTGTGGTTTCTCTTATTTCTCTCTCTGTAATTTTGTTGCTAGTATATAGAAATGCTGTTGATTTTTGAGCAATGATTTTGTATCCAGCAACATTGTTGAATTTATTGATTATATCTAGGTGTCTTTCAATGGAGTTTTGGGGGTCTTCTATGTAGAGTATCATGTCATCTGCAAATAATGATAATTTAACTTCCTCTTTTCCTATCTTTACCCCTTTTATTTCTCTCTCTTGTCTAATTGCTCTGGCTAGTATTTCCAGTACTATAATGAATAGGAGCAGTGATAAGGGACATCCTTGATTATGCCCGATTTTAAGGTCTTCAGTTTTTGGCCATTTAATATGACACTGGCTGTTAGTTTGTCATACATGGCCTTTATCATATTGAGGTAAAGACCATCTACTCCAATTTTCTGTAGGGTTCTTATCATGAATGAGTATTGGAGCTTATCATCTATAGAAATGACCATGTGATTCTTACTTTTGGCGTAATTGATATGGTCGATTACATTTATTGATTTACGTATGTTGAATCATCCCTGCATCCCTGGGATGAATCCAACTTGGTCATGGTGAATAACCTTCTTGATGATATGCTGCATCCTGTTTGCCAATATTTTATTGAAGATTTTTGCATCTGTGTTCATTAGGGAGACTGGTCTGTAGTTCTCTTTTTTAGTTGAGTTTTTCTCAGGTTTTGGTACTTCCAGGAATGACTTACGAAGAATTGCTTCTCTTTTGACTTCATTGAAGAGTTTAAGAGTGTCAGCATTAAGTTCTCTTTGTATTTGTTATAGAATTCAACAGTGAATCCGTATGGGTCTGGGCTCTTCTTTGTAGGTAAGGAATTAATTACATTTTCAATTTCATT